TAATATATATATATATATATAATACTGATTCTACAATGAGTCGATAATCCTAAGTTTTATCAGTGAAGTTGACCACTAGCCAACTTGTACAACTAATGTTGATTGGTCAACTTCATTGATAAGACTAAGACTTCCGACTACAGACTCATTGTAGGATTAGCATAAGATTTTCTGTATACACATATAAATATTACAGAAATTTAAAACACGCTTTTGTAAGCGAGGTAGAACAGTGAGACAAAAAAGTCTCGTTATACAAAGGGTATTGCCTGTTGTATCTGCGCCAAATATGTCATCAGAAAATTTGACAACTAACGCTAGTGTATGTCAAATGCAAACTAATAAAATAACAGTAAATGCGAACGATGCTCAGGACAAAACTTTCTTAGACGCTTTAGAGACAAGTGGAGATACAAAGAATTCTAATTCAATTATTACTAGTGCTACCCAAATTCTTAAAGAAGGTGAACATCAATGGTTAAATAGCGAGGTAATTAAAATATTTATAATCAGTATAAATGTGCATAATATATTTTTGTGTGAAAAATTAATCGACAGAACAATCGAATTATAGGTTGCAGATTTTTCATTAAGCAGTTTCTTAGGGCAGCTTGAATCACCTATGAAAGGTTCACAAAGAAGTCAAGCAGGTGAACAAATTATAGAAGATATTCGTCCTTCTTCTGATGTAAATATAAATATACAATTTATATTAAATATTATTTTATTTTATACTTTTTATTATAAATGCTTGTCTGCTTTATAATGATATTTCAGGTTGTGTCACATATGCAATGCCTCATGGGAGAAAACAGTGTGGACTACATGGCAAAATTTGCAAATCTTGCATCTCAAATGGCTTGCGATGAAAACAAAAAATAGGTAAATCATAACAGTATAAATCTTTTAATAAAATTAAATAGTTTATATATTTTCATATTTGTAACACATGGAAAATTAGCTTGCTATTCTAACATACAGTAAGTCAAGTAAGAGCGTGGTCGGTCTTTCTCAAAGCTAATAAAAGATATCGCCCTAAATCTATCATGAATCCATAGAGGGTACCTTTGTCCTTGATGCACTATCAAGGAAGATTCAGTTGTCATTGAATTTTCTTAAGAGAATCACATTAAGCGCCATGAGTACCAAATACGCATCACGAAGCGTGTTCCTCACGTTGTGTTTCTCTGCACTCACTCGAAAGGTCCAAAAATATCACAATTAGCGGCTGCTAAATATATGAAAAAGTCGAAATCATTCGTACAGAAGTGAGTGCAGCGATATAATGTGGCAAAAAATGTCGATTTACCGGAATGATTTACCGGAACGTGGCTCGATATGCAAAGTGGACAAAAAAAGACAATAAAAAAATAGTGAATCTGTTTTCGCGGAATCCTGGCTTAACATTGCGTCAAGGACAAGCAAAATTGAAGTAGAAAGGTTTAGATATATCGTATGAAACTATTCGAACCTATCTCAAGGCTAATAACATGAACTCGACCACGCTCTTACTTGACTTACTGTAACTCAATGAAGTATGCGCATTTATCTGTATTTATTAAATTTTTGCAGAGATGCATTTAATACAGAATAAACAGAGATATACGTGGTATACTTCTAGAAAGGGAGTGATTCTACAGCTTTAAATAAATTGAAATAATAGCATAAATTTTTTTAAGCAGTCTTTCTTTTTTAGAAAAACAAACTGAAAGTTTCCTACAGGATTAGGAAAGTTACTTAATAAAGTAGTTATCGTTACAAGTTACTGGCTCTAAAAAGTAATATGTTACAGTTGCAGTTATTCAAAAAGTAACTTTTCACTTACTTTCCAGTTACTTTTTCATTATTATAACAAAACAACATGGGTAACATCAATATTATTAAGATTAATAGATATCAAAGAAAAAGATCGAATGCCTTTTAGGTCTAGCTGGGTTTTAAATACTAAGCATTAAAAAGATCGCAGCTTAGACCGTGGCCAAGATTTCCTATTTCTTATTTGATGAGTTTCAAAATATACGATCCAATAAGATTCTTATTGCTTAAGTACTTACACAACTATGTGAATTTATATATACTGTTAAAAAAAGATGTAATTAAATTAAAAAGAGTTACAATTAAAAATTCACATTTTAATTTCCTTTTTGGTAAAGTTTCCTATAATAATTTGTTTTTGAGTTATACTGAATTTACAAGAAAAAGTTGTCCATTTTGTAACACTTTCTTTAAAACGCTACTTTGTCAAAAAATCGTAGAAAAATGTTCCAAATATGAATTTGTCTGGAAATTAATCTTAAAGACTCGTTTTTGCCTAGCAGCCAATTCTGAGCCCCGCTCAAAGACGACCAATAGACAATGGGTGCATCCAGAAGCACGACCGCTCGTTGAGCGCTCAATGAGCTTTTGCATCTGATTGATATATTCCATTAGATCTAAAAATATAGATCAAACAGGTACAAGAGCTCACTGAGCGCATCGGACCTTGCTAATAACGAGTGTTTAATACCTTTTTCTTTGTTCCTAAAAACTTATAAAACGGAAAAGAAGAATAGAATAAAATTTTTCAAAATTTTCTGTTCTATTTGGAATTGGACGTACTACAATGGGTGCATTTAGAACGATAATTGCTCACTGAGCACTCAGTGAGCGCTTTCATCTGATTGGCATATTTCGTTAGATCCTAACATATAGATCAATAAAATTCCTTTAATTAAAAAATCACATCGAATGAAATAATAGTTGCAGTATTATAAAATTTTTTAATGAGAAATTTTTACCCATGTTTTAATAAAATAATAAAATAATGCCTTCAACATTTGTTCGACAGATGCAGATTTAGAAGAGCGGTGTTTTATTTAATAAAGAATTTTCTTATTCTGATATAATTGTTTTACATATTAATATTGAAATTATTGGATAAAAAAAAACTAGCTAGGTACAATTTTTTTTTTCTTTTAAGAATTTGACTTTATTTGGTGATTAAAATAAAAAAGTTGTGATTGTTGTTTTTATCAACAGTTTAAAAACCTTTTAGTCAAACAAAAAAATTCCTAATAAATATCTTAAATAATTTTTACCAATTTTTTTCCATTAAACTAAAAATTTAATTTATACTTAGATGCAAACTTGCGATGATTAACTTTTTTTTTATAATTAGAGAACCTAAAATTAAATGCAGTACATTAAGTACTTTTATGTTTTTAATATCATTCCACATCGTGCACCTTTGAAACATCATTTTTATTTTTATTTTTTTTTAATTTGCTGACATTCTGCATGAATCTTGAATTTCGTATGAAATTTTTTTTTGTTTATATTGTAAAAATACTGCTTGAATGTAAAACTAGAAGTTATTTTTACATAAAAATAATACCATATCACATATATTAGGTACCGCGGAAAGTTTGTGTCGTTTTTTCAAGAGATGTTTATAGGGGGAAAAACGCAAACTTTTGCATACCTAATATTTCACCATTAATATGTATTTTAATTAAGTAATCAATGTGCGCACCATAAATATATGAGAGAGGTGTAACACAGGCCAGAAGCCTAACGTAAGAAGAAGAAGAATGTATTTTTACTTCAAAAAATCTAGAAAAAAATTTTCCAGTTATAAACGTGTAATTTCCATGTCTGAGTTTTTTTTAGTGTTGTAATGATGATGTTCGAGATTGAGACATGGTTAATTGAGATCCTTCTAGTTTTCTCTATCAAATTTTATCTTATTTCCTTTTGTGAATGAATAATAACTTTGCTTCTGATGCCTGATCTATTTATTCGTTACTAAAAATTTTTACTTTATCGTTTTTGCTCCAAATTATTTCACAAACAAACAAGTCTATTTCAATATAGCACATAAGACTTAACTTGTTTGTTTTATGAATTTTCGTACTTATTAAATTACACTTGTCTTTTAATTATTATTTTTGTAAAGTATAATTAGGCAAGAAGAGATATGTTCTAGATAGAAGAAATTATTTTAAAAGACTATATACTCCATGCATATTTCTTTCATATTGTTGATACATTTTTTACACATCTGCGAAATTACTAGGAGTCCTTAGGAGTTTCGTACATATTTATGTCGATTATATTGTACTTCAAACTTTATATCATATTCTTTAACAAATCAATAATAATGAGATAGGACGTTCCGCCGTAAAAATATCCATATTTTTAGAAGCAGAGCCTAGTCTTTTTCCTAGCGAATTGCGAAATATACATCAAAATGATTCATAGTGCTTACGTTTGTACAATTACTGACACATGTTTATCTAGGGTTTATGATAATTGCAGGTATAATTATCCATAAACGTAAGCAACGTGTTTCACGGATGTCTTTCCTCCGAATCGATCGGTTATTTAATTGAATATTTTCAATTAATCGTACGTAATTATACGATGCGATATGTAATACGTTTGGAAATATAAATATCTATGGCAATCCAAAGAACGTAAAAGAAATATAAAGAATTGTATTTAATTAAATAAATTAAGAAGTATAATAAAATAAATAATTATGTATATGTAATAAAAGAAATATAAGGAATTATATTTAATTAAATAATAATTAAAGTAATAAATTAAAGGAATATAATAAATAATAATTAATTTAGTAATGTCATAAAAATTATTCAATTACTTAACGTCATAATTGTATGTTATAACGTCATATGTAATGTTATAATGTACTGCAGGGAGCAGATGTGAAAATGTTCATCATTATAAGTTTATTGTACATGCGTACATTTTCCTAAAAGCTAATTATTACAAATTACTTGTAAAAAAAATTGATGTGGATATACAAATATATGTATGTGCGTGCGCGCGCGCGCGC